AGGAAAAGGGTTGTTGATATTATTTCGGATAATTCAAAATTCCGGAAAAATGCAGTACTTTCTCGATTATCCGAACATTTTTGGAAATGTGTTTAAAACATTAGTTCGGTTACTCGCTGTTCCTGTTCATTTCTCTTACCTCTGAATGTTATGTTTCTTGTCCATCTTTTCTCGTATGAACCGGAACTTTTCGACGGCAAATGGGTTCATTACAATTCCGATTTACGTTATACCTTCCACGTTTCTTGAATGTTTTGTTCATGTTTTGAGTGCCTTTTAGTATGTGAGATCCATGCAAAATCACTGATTATTTCTCCTATTCACCTGGACACTTTCAAAAAGTTTGCTGTTTCATCCACTACAGTCAGATGAGCATTTTTATTTATTGTGTCAGACTGGAATCTGTTCTTGATACATCTTAAAGAGAAATGCGAATGTTAAATTATTTACATTATTCGGACTATTGTCCTCTTTTTTGTCGCCATATTTATTACAACGTTTCGGCTGTTGTACGCTCCGGCTTTCTTCAGGTGGTTGGAATGTCGAACTGAACCCTTTATTTCGCTCATTGGGGTAGACTGTTCTAGTCGTTGGTTAGATCCAGTGACAGGACCCAAAGAGTGTGAGTTCAATACCCGATTAAGGCAGTGGAAAACTTTCAGAGGGAAATTAACAGGAGATAACTGATAACTGACATCCATTAAACATGGCACGTGGAACTACAACAGTCTACCCCAGTGAGCGAAATAAAGGGTTCAGTTCATCAGGAGAAACGAATGGATGACTGATGAGATTCTCGACATGATGCAAAGGAAACAGAAAACACTGTCAAGATACGGAATGGAGTACAGAAAATTAGACAATGAAATAAGGACCAAATGCAGGCAAGCTAAAGAAGAATGGCTAAACAAAAAATGTGCAGAAATAGAAAGATTGAGTAGCGCCAACAAAAGAGGCATACATAAACAAATATGACAACAAGACGGAAGACATGCTCATCAACAGGCTGCCTAAAATCAAAGGATGGAACATTCATATTAGAGAAGGAAAAAATTCTTCAACGCTGGAACGAGAGTATTGGAGAATTCTTCCACGACGTAAGGGAACAACCAGCAATACACAGAACTACTGACGGATCTGTAATTCTGAAAACTGAAGTTAAAGCCGCACTGGCCAAATTGAACAGAAACAAGGCGACAGGGCCAGGCGGAATTGTAACGGAAATACTGACGGCCTTAGATGACTTTGGCTCAGGCAAGATCACCGAAATAACAAATGAAATCTACAACAGCGGAGATATACTGGAAAACCTCAGCAGATCTATCTTCGTAGATATGCCCGAGAAACCAGGCACAAACGAATGCGAACTCCACCGAACAATAGGCCTAACGAGCCACGTGACAAAACTCATCATCATATTCTTATGAACAGAGCGCGCAGCAGAATCAACCCAGAGATAGGACAAGAACAGTGCGGGTTCGTTAAAGGCACTGGAACGGGGAACACGATATTCATGCTCAGAATGTTACCAGAAAGAGTAATACAGATGCAGAAGGACGTGTAACTATGTTTTATAGACTACGCAAAGGCCTTCGGCGCAAGTAAGCCACAAGGTTCTGCGGGAACTGCTCAGCAACCTCGATATATTCGGGAAACAAATCAGAACCTATACTGTCAGCAAACAGCATGCATGCGCATAGGGAACGATTCTAGTGAATAGACAAAATAGAAAGGGGCGTAAGGCAAGGATACGTCTTCTCACCCTACCTGTTCATCTTATACAGCGAAGCAATCCTGAGAGAGTTAGAAACCTTAAAGGGATTTAGCATTGGCATCCACAATCTTAGCAACATAAGATATGCAGATGACACACTACTGATAGAAGACACGGAAATGAGATTAGAAAATCTCCTCCAGAAGATAGCAACATAGAGTGAGAAGAGAGGGCTAAGAGGATCAGCCCGAAATGCGATCTGAAGGTCGGGAACACTAGAATCAAGCAGACTCGCAAGTTTAAATACCTGGTAAGCGTCTTGACAGAGGACGGTAAGTGCGACACTGAGATCCGTAGGCGTATTGCGATAGCCAAGCACACCTTCCAAAAGCTGAGCAAGGTTCTACGAGACAGGAGGATGTCTTTAGTAACAAAGATAAAAGTACTGCACTGTCACGTGACATCTATCATCCTTTTCGGCAGCAAATGTTGGACGATTTCCTCAAAGATGAAGAAGAGACTCGAGGTGACAGAGATGTAGTTCGACAGAAGGATGCTATGGACCGAGCGTGTGAGCAACGATGAAATCTTAGAGAGGTTGCAAACAAGGAGGAGGCTTAGACTTAACATCAGGTAGCTGAAGTTTCTGGGACGCAAAATGAGGAAGGTAGGCTTGGAGAATCTGATACTTACGGGTCGAATAGAGGGAAAGAGAGACAAGAGAAAACAACGCGTGACATACCTGGTGGACTTAAGCAAGTGGATGACAGAACATGGTCTGGGGGAGAAAGCAGAGGGAAGGAGCTTGCTGAGAGCTGCAAGGGATTAAGGGAGGTGGAGAGCCATGATCGCCTACGTCCTGAAAGGACATGGCACATAAAAAAAAAGAATCCCCGTATAATATATGAACTGAGCCTGCATTGCATTAGCCAGATATTATTTTATTAAAATTAAAATTATGTAACGGTCAGTGTCTATTCAACGAATGAAGATTGTGTTATGAATGAAAGTCCGTCGTACTAGCGGTGGGAAATAACATGTCTATTTACGCATATATACTTAATAGCCATATCCTATTAACTCCAGCACTCGATATCTTCCCTCTCTCTCTCTCCCTCTCTCTCTCTCTCTCTCTCTCTCTCTCTCTATATATATATATATATATATATATATATATATATATATATTCCTCAGTAAAATATAAATTCCGCCTATTCTGAATATTTTTTATAGTTTTAGATCCTCGTATTTTAATAAATATTTTTTAAAATACCATTAATTTATTTTTAAATTTAAAATATAAATCCCGTATATTTTAAAGACAGTATATATATATATATATATATATATATATATATATATATATATATATATATATATATTAAATAAAAACTCGTAATTTCTCGCATCAAACACAAAAAAAACCCTCAGGACATGGAACGTCCGGGCACTGCGGTCAGTTTGATAATATTAAAAAAAGAAATGGACAGGTTTAACGTAAACATTCTAGGTGTATGTGAAACCAGATGGCCAAACAACAGTGACTTTGTCAGCGAGAAACACGAGATAATTTATGCAGGCGGTGAGAAGAGCGACAAAGGAGTAGGACTAATACTAGATAACGAACTTAGGAAATGCGTTCTTGGACACCACCAGCTTTCCGAAAGAATTCTGGAGGTGAAGCCGATAGTGAAGATAATCCTAAGGAGGCAGGCAATACCTAGGTTTCACCTAAACGGATCGTCAGAGCGATGCCAGTCATATATATATATATATATATATATATATATATATGATTTTTGCATCGCTCTGACGATCCGTTTAGGTGAAACCTAGGTATATATATATATATTGATTGATTGATTGATTGATTTGTTGATTGATTTTAAATCATTGTTATAATTTGTGGAGAAAAATGATGCATTTCAATATTACTCAATGCTCTTGCCGATGTGACCTCCATCTTCTGGTTTTCTCCTTCCATATTTGGATAGAAGTCATTTCCTTGTTCAAATTCAAGGTTAATTTAAATCAAAGGGAGAAAAAATTCAGTGGGGGCCTTGTGAAAAATCAACTTGATCTGACTCCATTGATATGTATTTGATGAAGTACTTGATTGAATAATTGGTGAGCAGATTTCAACATTGATATGACAGTTGAATTGTCGCAATAAATATGCATTGTAAGGTACTACCCACTGACTGGTGATTTCGTGATCAACTAGACGTCCATATTGTCTCATTTTGATCTTGCCGATGTGTCCTCCATCTTCTGACTTTCTCCTTCTATATTTTTGATAACAGGCATTCATTGATCAAATTTAAATTTAATTTAAATCAAAGAGGAAAAATTTCCAGTGAGGTTGGGGTGTGCCCTCTTCACCGGTCACCCTTCGATCAAAATGTAATATATTTATCCAAGTACTCTAGGGGTCATTCCCTTGTTCAAATTTAAATTTAATTTATATAAAAAGGCAATTTTTTTTAGTGGAGGTGGCCCGGGGCCCCGTTTGTTCAAAATGAAATACACTTATCCAAGTAACCTGGGTAATGTACTTTCAGAACAGATGGTTATGGGGGTCTATCTTCAAAACTCTTCGATAACAGAGGCTACAATTATATATATATATATAAATATATACGCTTAAAAGGTGGTATATTTGTAGGGGAAGTTGGTGCTCAATATCAGATAGACCATTTGTCAGTATGAACAATATTGACAAGTAATGTGACATGTTTGCGTGTGGAATAGATTGGCCAAGTGAGACCTTGGATTGCAGCTGGTAAGAATAAAATAAAAAAATATATACAATTGTCCAAAGGAGGGGCACGGGCCGATACTGCCTTATATGGTTTTCACTGTGTAATTAACTAGAACATCACATCCCACATTCTCTTGGTAAATGACAGACATATATATCCATGAAATATTTTTTTCATCTGCATGACAGTTCTTCATCTGTAAGGAAATTGTCTAGCATTCACTGCCCTATACGATAGGAGTTATTCTACAGCAGTTCAGTAATAGCTTAATAGCATTTCACTATATTTTAATACTTTGCTTGGTTTCTAAAACGCATTTTTCGTTTCATACATCATCTCTTTTAATAGTGATATGTCGTCCCTTTTAATAACCCCTTCTGTGAAAGAACATGGCGTGGGCATCTATTCTTGATGAGGTGCCATAAAACTTGCATTATTTCAGGTTTTCTTTTCGTTTTAATTTTTATTTTATTTCTGCTATTTGTGGAATCCCCATATCTTTTCAATAGAATTTATTTATTTATTTACCGTTTATACCTTTGGGATTGAAAAAAAAGGAAAGAAAAATGAAGCAAATGCCCAATCAATAATGGTGATATGAGATAAGTAATATATTGAATATAAGGAAGTAAAGAAAAGCCAAGGTTAGTAAAAGATGCTATCCTTAGATAAACAGAGAAGCGAAAAAACCTGGGATAATAATTAGGAAGATGCGTAGAAAATCCACGGTGGTTTTTATAATTCAGGAATATGAAGCAAATTCTGAAAGAGAGAAAGAAAACTCAGCACCGTAAATCCCCATGTATGATACCCCTTCATCCATAATACGTGCCACTAAAATTGTGCTGGAAGTGTGGGAGAATGCTTCTACTCACACATAATACGCACCCCTTTTTCGGTAATCAAACTCTATAAATTGTATCTCTTCAATTTCATTTTGGCCAGCGTTTCCTACTCTTATTAAAAATGGATTTAAACATAGAATTATATTATTCTAATTTAATTTTATGATAATTCTCATTTTATTTTACATTTGTAAATATTGTTAGGTACATATGATTGTATTTGACATCCTTATGGGGTCGCAATCGCCGAATTTTAGTGTCAAATTGTCATATGTTTCGGGTGAGTAGTCATTTCGCTACTGAAATCGACTTATGAAACGGCAATTTTTTAAAAAACTTTTTGTAGCTGTGCATAATACGCACCCCTTATTTTGCTTATTATTTTTTAGCAAAAAATGCGTATTATACATGGGGAATTACAGTATTATTTAACGGGGAATAGTTTTAATGCAACAAAAATGGAGAGTTACATATTGCTGAGTGAATATGCGGTTGGTGTAATAGCTAGCAGCTCAGAAATCGACGGAACCAGTTCGAACTCCAGTCGGGTTTGGTACATTCACATTCACGCAAAAACCTTTGGGAAATATATAAATCCAACTGATCTCACTCCCAGCTTTGGTCTATATTCTTCTGTATTCTTCAGTCTAGGAGGGCAATTCCGCGTCCAAAATTGGATAAGCATAGGACAAGCAAATAATACTTGCGATGGAATAGGAGTAACCATCAGAATGTTGAAGCTATGGCCTCATTCTCTGAATTTGAAGAACACGGAATTTAAGAGAGTGTTAGCGTTATTTTTTTTTTATGAATTTCTGGCATCCTTATTCAAGTACTACTCGTCCCCTGCTAGTGGATTAAAGAGTTTCTTCGTGAATGGTGACATAGTAATAGTAAGTTCCATCTTTGGGGAGTGTAGCGCAAATTTATACTCAATATGAGCCTAGTACGAAATTCCCTGCAGATTAAGGTGATCAATCACTCCCTGATGAAGGCCGGAAGTCTAAACAGCCGAAACGATGTGACAATACCTAAAGGTTAAGTACAATGGCTCGAATGTAAATATAGATGTTACCAAGAACACAAACAGTAAGGTGAGAAATGGTCATTTTTACTATATTGTTCACCCAATACAAGGCCTAGGAGGCCCTCAAGGTAGATGGTTACTGAATGAGGTTGTTTTAAGGGTACAATTCAGAATAATGGTATTCAGAGCAAACGGTAGTGTCCAGGTCAACAAGAAACAGTAAAGGGATTTCATCATGACTAAAACTACAAAAAAATCACAAATATCCACACATGATAATAGCTGCACTAAACCCATCAGAATTCCGCGCATAACGTCTGTTTTATACGTTATTGTTCACTCATTATAAGGTACAAGAGCCACTCACGGTAGAGGATTACTGAATGGTATTGTCTTATGAAAGGAAGAACTGTGTATTATGAAAATATGTAAGACCGATAGTGGTTGACACTGGATATGAAGAGGTTAAGATTCTGGCGGTCGGGAAAGTCTTGGAAGTCTGTTCCTTAGAAGTTGTTCTTGAAGCTGTCTGAATGGAACTCTCTTCTTAACAATGGAATACGAAGGGCAATGCGGATGATTCGCCTCCGTGGACGTGGCATGGTGAATATTAGCTGTAAAGGTCTGAACTGGTGGAATTAGGGAATATATAGCTTGTCATAACATTTTCCATGGAAATAGCGATAGGCGTGCGATGTTGCGTCAGTGGGGAAGGGGTTTATGGTGGAAAAGAAATCATCACCCACAAGGCCGTGTAAGCGCTTTTAAACTCTGTCGAGACTGGAAATAGGGAAATGACTATCACCTGCCCAGATATGACAGCAATATTCCATTTTTGGTCAGATCGAACTTGTACAGTGTTTTCCAGCATGTTGAATATGAGTTCCACTTGATCTATGGAACCCCATATAAGGGGTATAACAGCAAAATTGTCCAAATCGTATAACAGTAAAATTGCTCACGTGTTAGATTAAAGTTTTGAACCGTTGTATCTTAGAAATGATTAAAGATATCTTAATGGAATTCTCCGAGGTTTTTATAACTCTGCTGGACGCTACACTGGCCAATAAGAATTTATAATTACTCTCTAATGTTAACAGAATGTCGTGATGAAATCAATCATAAACGAAAATGACATATTAATTAATTATAACTAAGGATCTGAAAAAAAGTTATATATATATATATATATATATATATATATATATATATATATATATATTCC